GAGTGCCCACTCCATAAGACCCTTACATTTGGACAGTCAAGGTGCACAATTGTAAGTGACCACAGACACGCACCTTGGAATTGATGTGCGTAACTGCACACGGCCCATCCCCTCTGAATAAGGTCCTATCCTCAGACCCCTTTTGCGGTACAGCAGGGGTGCTGATCACCATGGCTCCTTTTCCTGACCTGTTATGTGTGTGATTATATTTCTCCGGGTTCCTGTGTAATAAGACATGGAAACCTCCCCTGCCACACCTCACCCACAATCTTCCTTTCCCTTCCAGCAGGAAGTGCCCACTCCATAAGACCCTTACATTTGGACAGTCAAGGTGCACAATTGTAAGTGACCACAGACACGCACCTTGGAATTGATGTGCGTAACTGCACACGGCCCATCCCCTCTGAATAAGGTCCTATCCTCAGACCCCTTTTGCGGTACAGCAGGGGTGCTGATCACCATGGCTCCTTTTCCTGACCTGTTATGTGTGTGATTATATTTCTCCGGGCTCCTGTGTAATAGACATGGAAACCTCCCCTGCCACACCTCACCCACAATCTTCCTTTCCCTTCCAGCAGGGAGTGCCCACTCCATAAGACCCTTACATTTGGACAGTCAAGGTGCACAATTGTAAGTGACCACAGACACGCACCTTGGAATTGATGTGCGTAACTGCACACGGCCCATCCCCTCTGAATAAGGTCCTATCCTCAGACCCCTTTTGCGGTACAGCAGGGGTGCTGATCACCATGGCTCCTTTTCCTGACCTGTTATGTGTGTGATTATATTTCTACGGGTTCCTGTGTAATAGACATGGAAACCTCCCCTGCCACACCTCACCCACAATCTTCCTTTCCCTTCCAGCAGGGAGTGCCCACTCCATAAGACCCTTACATTTGGACAGTCAAGGTGCACAATTGTAAGTGACCACAGACACGCACCTTGGAATTGATGTGCGTAACTGCACGTGGCCCATCCCATCTGAATAAGGTCCTATTCTCAGGCCCCTTTTGCAGTACAGCAGGGGTGCTGATCACCATGGCTCCTTTTCCTGGCCGGTTATGTATGTGATTATATTTCTCTGGGTTCCTGTGTATTAGACATGGAAACCTCCCCTGCCACACCTCACCCACAATCTTCCTTTCCCTTTCAGCAGGGAGTGCCTGTTCCATAAGACCCTTACATTTGGACAGTCAAGGTGCACAATTGTAAGTGACCACAGCACGCACCGTGGAATTGATGTGCGTAACCGCACACGGCCCATCCCATCTGAATGAGGTCCTATTTTCAGACCCCTTTTGCAGTACAGCAGGGGTGCTGATCACCATGGCTCCTTTTCCTGGCCTGTTATGTATGTGATTATATTTCTCCGGGTTCCTGTGTATTAGACATGGAAACCTCCCCTGCCACACCTCACCCACAATCTTCCTTTCCTTTCCGGCAGGGAGTGCCCACTCCATAAGACTCTTAACGTTTGGACAGTCAAGGTGCACAATTGTAAGTCACCACAGGCCCGCACCTTGGACATTGATGTGCGTAACTGCACATGGCGCATCCTATCTGAATAAGGTCCTACTCTCAGACCCCTTTTGCAGTACAGCAGGGGTGCTGGTCACCAAGGCCCATTTTCCTGGCCTGTTACATGTGTGATTATATTTATCCAGGTTTCTGTGTACCAGACAACGAAGCCTCCTCTGCCCCACCACACCTACCTGCGATCTTCCTTTTCCTCCCAGCAGGGAGTGCTCACTCCACAAGACCCTTACATTTGGACAATAAGGTGCACAATTTTAAGTGACCACAGGCACGCACCTTGGAAACTGATGTGCATAACTGCACACAGCTTATCTTATTTGAATAAGGTCCTACTCGAAGACCCCTTTTGCAGTACAGCTGGTGCTGATCACTAAGGCCTCTTTCCTTGGCTTGTCCATATTCCTGGTACTAGATAAGGACACCTTCTCATACACTCTCTGCTTTTCAACAGGGAGTACTCACTACTTTAAGATTCTTATATTTGTCCAAAGTACATGGTTTTAATTGACCACAACAATGTCCCTTGGACGTTAATGTACATAAGCACCACAAGGTTCATCCTAATTAAACAAAGTCTTACCCTCTCACCCTCCATTTGCAGTTTACCAGGGTCGCTGATCTCTAAGTCCCCTTTTCTTGGCTTGTTGACAGGCATAATTGCATTTATGTGGGTTCTTGTGCCCTAGATAAGGATGTTACACCTCTTTTCAATATTAGGTGCCAACTTCTTATGATATTTACATTTGGATAGTTAATGTGAATGATTGCAGTTGTCCATAACCCTATCACTTCTCGGACAATTGTACCTCCTTTGCATTACTTGGGGCATACCACTTTCCTCCAAGGCCCCTTCTGGTGAACTATTAATATACATAATTGAAATTTTCGTTTGTCTTTGTCAGTAGATTAAGGTCATACCCCCTCACCTTTTCTTTGTATTACAGCAGGATGTCCTGATCAACCAAAGTCCTTTTGTTTTGGACTGTTAATATGTGCAATTACATTTGCTCGTGGTCTGTGCACTAGATAAGGATCCTACCTACTTTCTTAGCATTTTTAGCAGGTAGTCCCCACTTTTCAAGACTCTTTCACTTGGAATGTTCATGTGCACAAACACAATTTTCTAAGCATGTTCCTGTACCTTTTTTGCTTTAGAGCAAAGTGTAATAGACATGGAAGCATCCCCTGCCACACCACACCCACAATCTTGCTTTCCCTTCTGGCAGGGAGTGCCCGCTCCATAAGAACCTTACATTTGGACAATCAAGGTGTACAATTGTAAGTGATGGGGATGCTATTCACTTAATGCCCCTTGTTTTGGACTTAATATGCATTAATGCAATTGTCTGCCTCTTCTTTTAGATTAAGACCTGATTTCCACATACTCCTCTTCCATTGGGCATGTTAACTATGAATTGACCCTTTTCTATTGAATATTAATGTCATAATTGTATTTGTAGACCTGTGTAGTAGAAAAGCCCCTATGTTCCTACCACTATGCTGCTGAGGAATGCTAACTATTCATAATCTCAGCTCTTGGGCAATTAACATGCAATAATAACAATTATCAAGGGTACTGATTATTAGATAAGATTTTTTGATCTTTTTTGCATACATCGGGGATACTGACCCACTAAGGTCCCTTGTACTATTAATGTGCATATTTGTAATTATACATGTTTCCTTCTGTTACCCTCTTTGTATTACTGCAGGGGGTGCTGACTACTCAAAACTTCTCCTGGGACTGTTAATAGGTACAATGGCAGTTATCAATGGTTTTTCTCCTCCCTGACCTTGTTAAGCAAGCACCCCACCCCACCCCACCCTTTGTTCCTGTGGCATAATAAAGTATAAGCATTGCACTATTCCATGCACTTGTCCATCAAACAGTGGTCCATACTCCCTCCCCTTTTGCATTGCTCCGGTGTGTAAAATCACAGGTAGCCATGGTGTCACGCTTTACATACCAGGTCTTCCTTGCCTTGCCCCTTGTGTGCCCTGGGCCCCTTTTTACAGACTATTGTTCACAATCTCAGGTGTCCATATATCCAGCTATTAGATAAGATTGTGTTCTCTCCCTTCCCCCCACCGTGCCCCTTTTGCCTCTTTGCTGGGTAATGTTGACTGGACAAGGCCCTTTCTCTTAGACTTAGAAAATTCTCAGTGGCACTTTCCTTGGTCCCACCCATTATACATGAACCCCTCTATTTTCTTTTGCATTGCTTCTGAGTAGTGCTGACTACCCAAAGCCCCTTCTGGGTTATTAATGAACACAGTACTGATTGTCCCATTTTTCAGCCCATCAGTCCAAGAGCTCCCTACCACTGGTGTGTTTGTGCAGTGTTGACTATGAAAAGCAGGCCTGAATTAAGTGGATAAGCCTTCACTCTTTTTCTTTCATTTATTAATGATCCCAGTTTCAATTATTGTCAGATTCTGAGGACAAGAACCATTCTTGCCCACCTCTGTTACTGCTTTACTGTGAAGAGTACTCAAGACAAGTCAGACCCAGGAAGCTGGATTGCCATCTTTTATTTTGTGTTTCTAGTGCACACTATCAAATTGCCTCCCCAAGAAGGAAGGTTGGCACTTCCTCTGCATTCTTCTTTCCAGAGAAGATTGCCTGGTTAAAGAATCTCTTGTCATCTCTTTTTTATTGTTATTGTAAAGAAATGCCAGGATACAGCCAGAAAAATTGCTGTTATTATTATTTAAAAAAATTTTTTAAGAAAGACATCTGGATTGGAAGGTGGACCCAATAATCTGGTCATTATTTTTTTGAAGCCAAAAATCCATTTATACTATGTACCTGATGACCAGTGTCATTTTAACTGAGGGTGGTGAGTCTGTGGATAGACCACTGTGACTCTTGCTATTTTAATATTATCAAAGGCTTTCTAGAATGGAACTCTTAAGACCAGTATCTTTGTGTGGGCTTTACCAGCATTCACTTTTAGAAGAACTACCTACATTTTATAATCCTTACATTTCTTCACCTGGAGCACCTGCCCCTACTTATTTCAAGAAGATTGAAGTAAAATGATTAAATGAGAAAACTTATGCAGAGGTGCTTTTAAAAAGAATATGACACCTTTTTTATTAATCTATTATATAAAATGAAGCATTTAATTATACTAAAAATTTGAAGTAGTTTGAAGTGCCACACTGAAGGTGAGGATTTAAAAGTGATGGAGGCCGGGCGCGGTGGCTCAAGCCTGTAATCCCAGCACTTTGGGAGGCCGAGGCGGGTGTATCACGAGGTCAAGAGATGGAGACCATCCCGGTCAACATAGTGAAACCCTGTCTGTCTCTACTAAAAATACAAAAAATTAGCTGGACATGGCGGCACATGCCTGTAATCCCAGCTACTCAGGAGGCTGAGACAGGAGAATTGCCTGAACCCAGGAGACGGAGGTTGCGGTGAGCCGAGATCGCGCCATTGCACTCCAGCCTGGGTAACAAGAGCGAAACTCCGTCTCACTATTTTATAAGAAAAATAAGCCAAAATTAAATACTCTTTTGGATATGAATTTCAAAAGTGAGATAGCTGCCTAATAGAAATGAATAATATCCCAGCCACTAGTGTACAGGGTGTTTTGTGGCAAAGGAGCATGTAATACGGAACTGCTCAAGCAAATAACTAGTCCTCACAACAGCAGTTCTTTGTAATAACTGAAAAAGAATACTGTTTCTCTGAGAAGGATGTCAAAAGATCGACCCAGCTCAGGGAGCAGTTTGCTCTACTAGCTCCTCGGACAGCTGTAAGAAGAGTCTCTGGCTCTTTAGAATACTGTAAGTACTACTTTGTAGCTATTAAGTAATCTTTTTCCTATTCTATTTTCTCTCTCTTAGATGCCACCTATAGAAAAGTCAGAGGGTCCAGTAAGTTTCTTTCCTTCTTCCCACCTCGTCTGCAATATATATATATATGTATGTATATATAGATAGATGCATACATAAATATGCACATGTGAGTTAACCGGCAGAACTGTAGAATTAATATTGTGAACCCAGCTCTATGCTAGGTTACACTGATAACCTGGGTAGGAATGATATCGTCTTTGATAATTTCATTCCTGAGATGGTTGTATTGTTGAGGAGCTAATGTAAGCACACTTGAAATTACTTTAGAAAATAATAATCAAGTGGTGTTTTGTGTGAACCGTAAGTAGTAGATTTAAGAAGGGAACCCACAAAGATTTGAAGTTGATAGGATAAACTTAAGGAAGTGGGTTTGCTTTTTCTCTTTAAGCCAAGATAGGATTAATACTGCAGCCATCTGGATAGTCTAGTTCGTTTATTTTAATGTCATTTGTTTTTTACCTCTTTTGAAGCCATGGAAAGAGATTAAAGGGATAGGGCACAGCCATTGTGTTTGCCAAGGCTGGCAAATTAGTGATTGTTAAATCTCATAAGCTTGAGTATTTTAAAGTTCAGAGATTGAGGGTATAAATCTAATACTTTGGCTCTTTGCACAATTTTGCTACATTTCTGCCCAAGAACAGATGATCATGGATAATGCATATCATAGATACATTTTTTTAGTTTGGAATCTTTTTGCCAAGAGAGTAGTGGAGAAGTGTAAGTCAAAACCTTGACCTTCCTTGTCTACTTTATGCTGTAGTTTTTATATACACTCTTTCCTCCCACCTTTTGCAAAGCTAAAAGAAGCTTAGCCTTCTTAATGTAAAACAAACAGAATGTCCAGCTGAAAAACTGTTTAACATAACATTTGAAACTTTTTTTCTGGTGCACATTCATGCGTCGCAGCAGGAGCAACAAGAACCATATCAATGAACTGGCTTCACTTATAGCCCATTTTAATTCATATCCATATTTCCTCATGGCTTGTTTCCATGCCCCCAACCCCCTTCTCCAGATGCTTAACGACATTGTCTGGCTGACTGAGGGTAAATAACATCATGGTCTTGAGCCTTCTTGGAAACGTGGTCTGTGCCATTGTTTCTCAAACTCAAGTAATGCTTCAGGATGAAACACCTTCTAAAGGAACAAAATTTTCTGAGATCCTAAAAAAACATGTTTTGAGGAACACTGACTTAACAAAGTTATTTGAAATGTAAATATGTTTTCCAATTTCACATTGTCTTTGTCACAGATATGTTTTGTGTAATTCATGCAGAACTTGGGGATCCATGAGAATATATCCCAAACCCTCAGCGTTATCACCCTGATTTGAGAAACACTAGTCTATGCTTATGAAATCTTCTATTGCTAATTAAATTGTCATTCATTGTCAACATACAACTGTAATTATTATTGAATTTGTTATAAAGAAATGAATTTAGAGATGATTCTGTATCTTAGCTCAGGAAGAAGGATGGCTCGATTTTAGGTGGATTGATTCTACTAGATAGCATCCAAAGGTGAATCTTGAAGCTGTATTTAAATTAATTGCTTGAAATAATTTCCACCTTTAAGAAAAATCTTTAGTAGTTATAAAAGGGGATGCTCTGGAAATGTGGGTATCTTCAAAATAGAGATAATTCTTGTGTTAATTCAACAAATGTTATTGTGCCAGGTGCTGCAATAAATAGCAAAACCAAATACATGATTTCTATCTAGGAATTTGCCTTCTCATGGAGGATGCAGAAGGAAATCATTACGGTGTTGGGCAGAAACACCTAGATTTTAGTCCTGGCTCTCACTTTGGTTCAAATCACCATCAAGCTGACTATCTTGAGATTGCCAGTGAAATAAGATAGGAGCTTAAATCAAATAATTCGATCCCTGAAAATGACATTTTGTCATTTGGAAAATTTTCAAAAGACTAATAAACAGTTTTTTCCCACATTTTTCTAAATGATTATTGTCATTTCTTTTCCGACTTTTCCCTTTATAAAACCTTAACGTGTAGGACTGGAGGAAGTTTTCTGACCATTTTCTTATATCCCCCTTCAGCTTTATCTTTCTGTAACTTCCATTTCTCTAGCCACCTCCCAAAATTACAGACAACTATGAGACTCAGGGCTGCCATGATCAGGCATTCATAATTTCTTTTCAGGGTGTTTGTGCCCTGGTTATCAAATTTACACCTGGATGGGAGTTTGTGTCTTAAAGTAATGAATTAAGAGTTGACCTTTGTTGACTGCTAAAATATTCTTACATGTGAAAGCATCCTGGGAAAATCTGTTACCAGCTTAAAGAGAAAGAAACTAATGATTACATCTGAACTGAGCTAATGCCTCTAATGATCCCCCAAACTTTGTAAGTTTGGATGGCAAAGAGTAATGATATGTATAGTTAAACCAAGCTAATGACTTCCTTTGTCTTGTCTTAAAGACTGAATTGGGAGAAAATTGACCAGTGTTAGACTTTATTATGGGTAGACTTAAAGTATTATTTCCCTTAACCAATTACAATGCTCTTCTTCTAGTGTCCCCAGAAATATGAGAGGTTATGTAGTACACCAAATAGTATCCTCTTATTGCATAATCTAATAAAATGCTTATAATAATTTAAAAATAGGGATATGACTGGAATATCATTGTATTTTACCAGGTCCCATTATAAAATATCTAGGTTACTTTACCTGTAACTTTGAAAATTATTGGCATAGTATATTTTGTAGAATGTTGTTAGTGTGATTGGCATGGTACAGTGCTGGGATGTAATCACTCATTAAAGTGTTCCAGCCTTACTGGTCTCCCTTGACTGAAAATTAGCTACTCACTGACTTATTTATTACAGCAGATTGATGATGTCTTTCCAGGAAATCTGATGATGTACAAAAACAAAGTTTAATTGCCAATGTTTTCTTAAAAACAACTTTTTGATATTATGGATACCTGGTAATTTGGGCCTTGTATATTTTAACATCAAAATTACCTATTAAAAATCCATATAAACAGAAAAGAAAGAGTAAGTCTTTAGGCCAAGACTTACTGCAAAGAATGATGGTACCTACTGTAGCAAAGTTTGGAACATAGACTTACCAGTTCTCAGGTTCCATTTTGCTTGCTTTTTAAAAACTGTGTCTTCTGTGTCTTCAGCGTCTGGTTGGGAGATTTTTAGAAAAAATAACCTTTTAATGTTAGAACAGTGTAAAGATTTACAGAATGATTCTGAAGATAGAGTTTCTGTATACTTCACACTCAGTTTTTCCCAGTGTTAACATCTTACATTAGTTTGGTACATTGTCACAATTAACAAACCAATATTGATACATTATTTTTAACCAAAGTCCATACTTTATTGATATTTCCTTAGTTTTTTCTTAATGTTCTTTTTGTGTTCCAGGATTCCATTGAAGATACCACGTTGCATGTGTCCTTAGTAGTCATGCCTCCTTTGGCTCTCTTGGTAATGACAGTTTCTCAGACTCTTTGTTTTTGATGAACTTCACAGTTTTGAGTACTAATGGTCCAGTGTTCTATAAAATGTCTCTCTATTTGAATTTGTCTGATGTTCCTCTCATGACTAAATTGGGTTTATGAGTCTTTAGGAGGAAGACTACAAAGGTAGAGTGCCATTTATCAAGAGTACATACTATCAACATGACTTAGCACTGTTAATGTTACCGTTAATCACCTGTCTGAGGTACTGTTTGTCAGGTTTCTCCATCATAAAATTAGCCTTTATTTTTCCATTTCCATACTGTACTCTTCACATAGGAAGTCGCTATGTGCAGCCAGCACTTAAGGAATGGGAAATTATCTTCCACTTCTTGGAGGGAAGAGTATTTACATAAATTATTTGGAATTCTTTTGCATGGGATGTCTTTTCTTCACAATGTATGTGTTTATTCAGTCTTTTATATCAGTATGATCTCATGGATATTTTATACTCTGTTACAATGTTACTTTATTCTTTTGTTCAAATTATTACAGCTTTGGGCATTGGGAGTTCTTTCAGTTGGCTTTGTTATAACCCCATGAATGTGGGTTTTTTGCTTGAGTACTTATTTTTGGCACTACAAGATGCTCCAGGCTTGTTTGCATATCTCCTGCCTGGACCTAGAATGACGTATTTCTCCAAGGAATCTTGATGCCTTTTACTGGAGAATGATATTAGAAATCAAGAAGTGAGTGCTAGGTGTGCTCATTGCTACTGGAGTGTCATTCCTTCAAGACCTTTTCAGTTGACAAGAGCAAGGAGATATATGTTTGCATTCTCACTTGTATATATGCACATGTCTATAAATATATATAACCATGTGTATCTATAGCAAACTAAATGTGTTTATACCTACATCTCCAACTCTAATCATTGCCACATAGATCATTATAGCCTCACCTCCTTGCTTATCTGTTACCTCCCATTTTTACAGTGAGAAACCTGGCTTAGTTGGAAATTTTTTCTGTTAATATTAGAGTAGTGAGTGTTTGACATTTGCTTCTATGGTTAAGTTTAGGGAGAGTTTAGCTGTAGGGTATTCTTGAAACTAGAAATGACCCTTCTACCCTAAATGTTTCTGCTAGTTTTGAAACTTAAAACAGGTTGCAGAAACAAACTTTATCTTAACCAGAATTTTCTTCAATCCACATTTTGATATTGATTTTCAGATTAAATTATTCTGATATCGCCAGGTAAGTTGTTCATTGGGTATGCATTTCTTCTTTCGGTTTTTTTTCTGAGAGCTAAAGGACCCTGAGAATACTGGAGGTGGGAAAGGAGGGGAAAAGTATGTTCACATGTGGAATAGGAAAGGTCCATTTACTGACCTTCAGCTGGCCTTTCAAAGTGCCTATTTAAGACCCAAGGAGTAGATGCCTTCTTTGGCAATTGTAACCCAAATACAATTTTTAACCTTTCAGTTTTAGTCAAGAAAGTTGGTGTGCTGATGCAAAAAGTGCTCTGATTAACAGCATTGTCATGTGCATTGCATATGAATCAGCAGTTTAACAATATGAAATTGTGTCCAGCATAATTTTAATATTTTATATTAGATATTAGAGACAGTGTTTCTCAAGTCTGTATAAATTTGATAGTAGGGAGGTTTTCTTTCAAGAAAAGAATTATTCAGTGTGCGCCTATATAACCACCACTTAGATTCTACAATTAATATTTTGCTATATTTGATTAAATGTTTTCTGTAAAAGAAAAATATTATTATGTACCCTTTAGGTTTGTGGGAATAATTGTTAAAGTGTATGAGCAAACCTGGAAAGAAATATATAGATTTATAATGCAACTGTAAAACTTAGCAGATGTACAAATTAGTAGTTAACAGATACTATAATGCAAATATGGTACTACTATTATAGCTTCTTTTGAGTGGCATGTCTGTACTATCACATGCTGTATTCATGTACTTCACCAAACTGCGGTTTTCAAACTGCTTGAAATCCTGCTATTATAACACATAGCAATGCTATTTGACTTTCATTTGGCACAAAACACATTTATATTTATGTATTTATATATTGTTTGCTTCTGTTCTTTTCTATAATCCCCAGGCAACAAAACTAGATCATTTGCCACTAATCTGGCAATGTGTTCCTATATTATCAGGTAGTCATATAGCTGATCTAGACTATCCTTACAGCGAAATGAGAGTATTGTAAAAGTTTTATAGCAAGCTCTCATACCCCCCTGAGAATCCATGCACAAACCCCAGAGCTTTAAAAGACATCTGAATTGAGGGAAGACATGGCTTGAAGTATCAGTTGTATAACAGTTGTATAATAGTTGTATACTATTTGTATAACATTGATGTAGTTTCATCTTGTGGATTGCCAGCTTCCTTAGAGAATGAAAATGTTGAATTATGTTATTATTATTTTGAGATGGAGTTTTGCTTTTTCCCCCAGGCTGGAGTGAAGTGGCATGATCTTGGCTCACTGCAACCTCTGCCCTCCAGGTCAAAGCAGTTCTCCTGCCTCAGCCTCCTGAGTAGCTGAGATTACAGGTTCCTGCCACCACGCCTGGCTAATTTTTGTATTTTTAGTAGAGACGGGGTTTCACCATGTTGGCCGGGCTGGTCTCAAACTCCTGACCTCAGGTGATCCACTAGGATCACATGGGCCACTGCACCCAACCCATGTGATTGTTAATTATCACTTCTAGCTGTGATGATTCTGTCTGGTGCTGGAGTATTTGAACCAGATGGCTGGCGATACCACTTGATTATTATCTCCATAATACTCTGATGTTTTGTTGGACTGCAAAGTGACAGATTCTCAAAATTCTTGTCAGTGAATATTGAATCCTAGTGAAATGTATGGTTCTGTATCAGTTCCGAAATGTAACCACTTTCTCTAGCCTTAAATTCCCATTAAGGGAAAGGGAATGCTCCTTGATTATGTCATTACCATAGTAACAGGCAAAGCTAGAGGGCTTTGATGCTGAAGCAGGATACTCCATAAATATGGTTAAGAAGATCTGGGGAGACTGGAATAGTTGTTTCCTTTAGATTCCAGTATATAAATGAGTTTGAGCTAGGATCCATTGATTTAAAATTTCTTTAGGTAAATTTGCTTGCACATGGAGTACACATTGACTCATTTATGGAGTTTCAGGAAGCAGTAGAACAAACGCATAAACATGTATGAACAGCCATGTTTAACTGGAAGCCTGCATTTGGAAGTGAAGTATCTAATCTTAGGTTAAATTAGGATAGGGAAGGATGCTGGCAAGATATTTTGAAGCTTGTTCTGGTCATGTTGAGAACATCATAGAACAGTTTAGCCTTACTAGACATCTTAGCTAGAGAATAGAGTTGAATAAGTGATCTTCCATATATTCCTGTTGGTATTGCCATAAAAGTTTCCTCATGGTACAGTAATCCTTGATCAGGGATCTAGAAGCCTGTATTCATTTAAGGTCCTCAGGTTTAACATACTGGGTGTTTTTCAACACCACACTACACCATGCAAAGTGCTTTCAAGGCTACAAATTGGGCTTAGATCTGCTTTAGTGAGCTCCTATGCTTTAGTAACGGTAGATGGCCGATTATTAAAAACGATGAAGACAATTGCACCTCTAGGTAGTAGTAGCAATTGCCACATTGTCTTGAATCTTGAAGTATTTTCAGCAACAGGATGACCATTAGCCACAAATTTAGTGCCAGCCCTTAAGGTGGATATTGGTTTGACCCATATTTTCATGTAATTCTTTTTCTTAACTTGTCTAATCATCACGTGATACCACCAGGGTTTGTTATTACAGGACCTTAGGGAAATCAAGCAGTCCAGAAAGTAGAGACAAGGTATACCTATGTCTAATGCTTCAGGTTATACTTCCTAGGTTTTTTTGTTGGGGTTTTTGTAACACTTTTGGTATTCTACTGGTGCTTTTGGTAGCCTACTGAGCCCTGTCTTTCTTCTCAAGGACATTCTGAGTATGTGAGACCTGAAGACTGCAAACATCTTTAAGAGGCTCCAAATTCAGCAGATCTTTCCCTTTGAGAATCTGGGAAGCTCCAGCTAATCTACCTGAATGGGTTGCTGGCCACCTGGAGAAAAAGGTACTTTGGGGAATTTATGGTTGTAGGGCTTCTGTCTTTGGCCTTAACTTCCTACTACTCTCCTTTTAAAGCAGACACATCTGGTCACGGTGGCTCCTGCTTGTAATACCAGGGGGGAGGCTGAGGTGGGCGGATCGCTTGAGGCTAGGAGTTCAAGACCCCCTGTCTCTACAAAAAATAAAATTAGCCAGGCATGGTGACGTGTGCCTGTAGTCCTACCTACCTTGGAGGCTGAGACAGCAGGATTGCTTGAGCCCAGGAGTTCAAGGCTGGAATGAGCCATGATTAGCCGCTGCACTCCAGCCTAGGTGGCAGAGTGGGACCTAGTCTCTTGAAAGAAAAGAACATGAGCCAGCTTTCATCAATTCCTATACTTTTTCTTTTGCATATACACATACATTTTAACTTTTCATTATTAGTTTAGCCTCTTTCATTTACCCCTCAGAGCTGGGCTCCATTGAGGTCTGTAAAGGCAAGCATACTTGATCCCCATTTCATAAATAAAGAATGAGAGATGGAAAGCAATAAATTATTTCCTTTCTCACCACATAGCTAGTCAGCAAGAAAGATAAGGAACTTAACACCTTTTGATTAGTGGACTTTTAAATTATCCCCACCTTCCTTTGGCGGGAGGGTATTATGTTCTCAGGATTTGTTTACAAATAAGACCAACTTCATTTGTGTTAGCTCTGTTTTGGTAGGCCTAATTCCATTATTACTGCCATTTCCTTGTTTTAAGAAGTTGAAATTTTAACTTGAAAAACAATTGAAATTGTTAAAGTGGAATAGGAGAGCCCCGGAGGAGCTGTATAAGGAATTTACTGAATCTCTAGTCTTCTGTACCTTGTTTTTTCTTCTGTGTAGATTTGCTTAGCTGTTATAACTGGAGTTCTATATGCTTTTGACCATTCTTGGTTTCTCCGAATATCCTAGAACTTTCATGGTGCCCTGTTATACAGGTTGTTGAAGAAATGTTACCATGTGGATTGTGTAGAAAACAATTCTCTTTATCTTGGCAATATTATGGCATGGCAGTATTTAAAGTACAAATTAAAAGAGAGGAATGCTGTAAAACTAGCTGACAGGCACTTTGATTGAGGTGGATTGCTCAGTTCTTAAAATAGTGCTTTATAAAAGAAGCCAGAGACAATATGGAAGAGAATTCTTAAGAATTCATAGGGTTAGACCACACTGTACCTTTTCTATGTGGCTTCATGACTCTCTTGGTTGAGAAACCATTAGGTTCTCTTTCCATTAGTTTCAACCTCTTGGTTTCTTGACCCCCCTACCCCCATTATATTTTGTGCTTAGAACACAAGGGCATTAATAATCCACATTCTAGAGGATCTCTGATTAATAAAGACTGGAGAATAAAATGCAGCATGGAAATATTGGTAATTATTCAGTTCTAAATTGCTCTTGGAAATGAGAGAAAGCATACAGAATACAGCTGTGACGAATAGGAGGATTCTTTTGCTAGGCTGGTAGCCAGAATACAACAGTTCGGCACAGCTGTAAATGTCCACTCCTCAATCCACATGAAGAAAAGGGTAAACATGGCTGAACTCAACCACTAGTTGCCCATTCGGACAGACTTTCCCAGTGTACTACATTTCAATACTTCTTCTTTTGTCTCTTTTTCAGATCTTCCTCAGAAGAATAGGCTTGTTGCTTTATACAGTGTTAGTGATCCATTCCCTTTGACGATCCCTAGGTGGAGATGGGGCATGAGGATCCTCCAGGGGAAAAGCTCACTACCACTGGGCAACAACCCTAGGTCATGAGGTTCTGTCAAGATACTTTCCTGGTCCCAGATAGGAAGACAAAGTCTCAAAGACAACCACCACATGTCAAGGTGCGTAAGCTGTCCCTAAAAGCATAATCAGTAGTCTTAATTTTGATTTTGTTTTCCAGTATACATTTTACTTAGCTTTTCTTTGAGGTTGTATTCATCATTATCCTGCATATGATTTGGTAAAGACAGCTCCGTAACTAACCTGGGAAGCAACTGGGTGTGAGATTGGATAAAGTGATGATGTAAAGAGGGTAGCAGATTTTATGTGTTCGGATGTATGGAGTGGGTCTATAGCATGTGGCAGAGGCTTACAGCTAAATTGTTGTTTCTTTTAGGAGAACATGGACAACTGTCACATCAGTGACTGGTCACATGGGCAAATCATTCTGTTCCATCTGGTCCCCAATGTCTCTCTTAAAGCCTTACAGAAAAACTTTGCCGATCATTTACGTACTTCAAGATGGCTTGGGATGCCACGGGTTACAACACAACAAGTGAGAGGTATGTCTTTTTATGCTGTGGTTGCTGATTGATAGAAGCCGCATAAATACAAAAGGGCACCTGACTAAAAATGGCACAAAGTTATCTGTCATCAGGCAGGAGCTTAAAGAACCAGGAACCTATATTCTCTAGATCAGTGATGGGAGAAGCTGATTATTGGTGAGGATTGGTAAATAAAGGTGACTCATTCAGTGTAGTAAATCCTGATCATACAGGCTTTGCCCAGCATTCTTCATAAAGAGTGGGTACGTATAAATTTCATGAAATATTTTCATGGGTAAGAACTCATGAAATATTATAATGGACTAGAAAGACCTGTAGATTTAGAAATAGAGAAAGTTACTAACAGAAATTGTTAGAAAGCCTACGAACTAGAAAGCTAAGTTGAGAGCTATCTAGGAAGATCTATTGTACTCAGAATCTTTAGGAAAATTCTCCTAGGGTCAGTACCCTATGTGAATTTTCTTTTTCATTTTTGGATTTTAGCTGAAATGTTAAACAAGCTATGTGAATTTCCTTATTGTGAGAATATTTGCCTCCCGGAGTGACTCACCTTTATCTCAAAGAGAAATATTATGAGTTTCGGAAATGCTGCTCTGTGGCTGTGTTTTGTTAGTCCCGAGCCAGGAGACTTAAATAAAGTAAACTTGAGGTGGTCCTAAAACACTGAAGTGAGCCTTAAACATTGAAAATACCTTATCATTTTTCCTCTTATATCTATTGTTTATTTTTGTGATCTCAGTTATTAATCATTTAAAGGGACTCTTTTCTAGCCGATTGGCACTTAAAACAGGATTCTAGCCTTTAACTAAAGGTATAAGGCTATGACTAGTGGTGGTGTCTCTAGTGACTCATCAAGTGATACTTGGCAAGACATTTTCCCATTTATGCTAGTTTCCAGTTCTTTAAATGAGGAAATTTTCTCTCTAAAGACCTGAAAGTTTTGACTTCATAGGTTTTAAAGTTCTGTGGAAACATTTTCTGTTGCTTATTAATTTGAATCTTAGGTAACTCTAACACAGTATTCAATACTTATGGCATTTACATGGTTTATCTCATGTTTTTTTATAGCTCTTCATTGTTCCTATCTGCCAAATCATTATCCTGCCTACAAGCAGTGCAGAGAGCTGGGTCTTCAACAGGTCCAAGAAATTTGAACATACTGAAAGAAGTCAGCCTTCCTACCTGAAGATCAACATACATGCCTGGCACTCTAGCACTTAAGGATATTGGAATGAAGTAAGTTTTTGGTGTTGCAGTCCTGTGAGGATCACTTCAGAACTGTTATAACAGCTGTTTTTTGGGAGCCAGTGTTGGATAGGGTGTGTTGGTCTAATGTTAAGTGGGGCTAAATGTGAGACAGGAAGATGACCAGTCTTCCATGTTACCGACTGGGTTCACTGAAGCAACTCAAAGAGATTACGATCTTCTTACCAGTTGTATCACAGAAGAATTCAGCCTTTGCTTGTGTGTTCTATGTCTTCACTGTATAGGCAGTCTGTCATTCTTAGAGCTTTAAACATTGAAAAGCTTAAAACACAATTTCTGCTTTCTGCGGAAAAGGTAACCCTTTCTCATTTCCATTTGTGAGAGACTCTATCGTCAGTTAAGATTAGTATAAAAAGAAAACTAAACTCTGAAGTAACCATTATAAAAGTGTGAGAATGAAGTCAGTTTTTTAAAGAGTTGGGGAAAGGTGATGCTAAAGGAGGGGATTGACCAAGTCCTATCAAAGAGCCCTTTATGAAAATATTTAGTCATCTGTGACATCCCGTTTGGCTCTTCCAGAAATCCTAGTAAATAGTTGTAACAGAATGTTAAGAGGCACACATTGTGTGTTTTAAAGTCTCTGATAGACTTACCTGCTTGTGAGGGTTAAATGAAATCATGTATGTATAATGTTCACCTAGTGCAGTACCTGGCACATGGCAAGTAAAAGGTAACCCAAGAAGACTCATAAGTTCACTTCACGCAATATAAGTGACCACTAGCACTATCAGGTTCCAGACAGAGTTGGCATGCTCTGGTTCTGTGTAAGAAATCCCTAAGGTAAAAGTTTGTAAATAGAACATCTGTATTGGTGTTGGTAGTTGTTGCAATTAATATTATTGTAGTAGTATAAGTAGTGTTGGTAGTAATAATAGCTTATAATTTACTAATGACATTTTTTGTTTTTTTTTTTTTTAACATTTTGTGATGCTTTTCATACCTTTTGTGCCCCTCACAGTATCTTGTCTCTTCTGCTACTTAGTACCTCTGAATGTCTGCATTTGCTTGTCTCTTGCACTCGTGTGTATTTCTTTGTCTTTGTTCTTTCTTCTCTTTGTTTCTCTATACTTCTTCCTTGTCTTTGTTATCTATCTAAAGTGTGTCTTATCCATTTCCGTGTTTTCTCTTGCTAATTTCTTTCATGTGTGCCTTTGCCTCATTTTCTCTTGTTCACAAAGAGTGGTCTGTGCCTTGTCTTAGACATAAGTCTCATTTTTCATTTTATTGCTGTTTCTCTTTGTTTTCCTAGATGTGGCTGTTATTTCACTCTTTATTTCATGTCTCCTTTTGGGTCACATGCTTTGTGCTTTTTGTCCATTTCTTGTTCTGCCTACCTCTCCTTTCTCTGCCTACCTCTTTTTTCTCTTCATGAACTGTGACTATTTGTTATCCCTTCCCCTTATTTGTTGTAAATTTCACCTTTTTCTGAGTCTGGCCTCCTTTCTGCTGTTTCTACTTTTTAATCTCACATTTCTCATTTCTACATTTCCTTTCTGCCTCTCTTGGGCCATTTTCTCTCTCTTTCCTCCCCTGTGTTCCTCAGTGTCTCTTGCTGTTTGTGATTTTCTATTTCACTATTAATCTCTGTTTGCTTGTGTTTCTTCTCTGCTTCTTCCCTTTCTACTCACCTTTGAGTATTTCAGCCTCATCATGAGTCTGTCTCCCTCTCTTTGATTTCATGTATTCTTCTCTCCTTAAATATTTCTTTGCATATGTGGGCATGTGTACGTGTGTGTGTGTCATGTGTGGCAGAGGGGCTTCCTAACCCCTGCCTGATAGGTGCAGAACATTGGCTATCAGAAGTAAGCATTATGGAGTGGTTCCATATGCCAGGCTGCCGTGTGAGATGATCCAAAACCAAAACAAGGCCATAGGATCTAGACTGCAGTAAAACCCAATACTCAAGTAGGAAAGAAGGTGGAAGGCTTATATGGATAGAAGGCCCAAAGTAGAAGACAGATGGTTTGAAACTTGAGACTTGAGGACTAAGATGGAAAACCCATGTTCCAAGATAGATAGAAGCCTCTGTCCTGAAACTAACAAAAGCCTCAAGAGCCAAGGAAACAGAGGGTGGCCTGAATTGGACAGAAGGCCTGAGTTGGATGTAATGTTCAAGTCTTGAGTTAGAAGGCTTAAGACCTGGGATAGGACACGTACGTGGAAGGCCTGAGACTGAGACTTGTGACACAAAGCCAAAGACCTACGATTAGCCCCAGGTTGTAGGTGGAAGACCTACAACCCAAGGATGGAAGGCTCCTGATAAAAAGCCTACCTAGATGGATAGAGGACCCAAGTGAAACAGATGATCTCAAGACTAAAGGCCAGAATGTGGAGGCCCATGACCCAGAATCCAGGAAGAATAGAAGCTTGAAGACCCGGGGAAATCCCAAGATGAGAACCCTAAACACTACCTCTTTTCTATTGTTATACTTCTTACTCTTAGATATTTCCAGTTCTCCTGTTTCTCTTGAAGTTTGATTCTTTTGAGATGTACTTTTTGATATTGCCAGTTACCTTAAAGGAACATATCTTTAGGTTGACAGTATTATGCCTGGGCCAGTCTTGAGCCAGTTTTAAATCACAGTTTTTACCTCTTTGTTAGGCTTTAGTGTTTTGTAAACTTCTGTTTCTATTCACATCTACTCCACTTGAGAGAGACAACAAAATCCAGCCAGTATCTAATCTGGCTTTTGTTAATCCCCTCAGGAGCAAGCATTCATATAGGTGATATTATATTTCAGTCTTCCCTTTTAACCTCAGAAGCCCTAGACTGATGAGAAGGTAAAATGGTCAGGTTGTTGGGGAAAAAATGTGGCAGGTTCTCTAGAGAAAAATGTGAAGAGATGCTCCAGGTCAATGAGAAGAATTAGACAAGAAATACACAGATGTGCCAGACTTCTGAGAAGCACCTGCCAGCAACAGCTTCCTTCTTTGAGCTTAGGTGAGCAGGATTCCTGGGGTTTGGGGTTTCTAGTGATGGCCTGGGATAAAGTGAGGTCCCAAAGAGACAGCCTGAACTCCCTGCTCATAGTAGTGGCCAAATAATTTGGTGGACTGTGCCAACCCTACTCCTGGGTTTAATACCCATCTCTAGGCTTAAAGATGAGAAAACCTCAGACTATTTAGCACATTTAATACTTTCCTTGATTTTTTTCTTTCCATTTACGTGGGAAGTTGATTTAAATGACTGATAATGTATATGAAAGCACTGTAAAACCGAGAAAAACCAAGGCGTGCTCCTTAATAGTGTATTGGGAATCATGCACAGTTAACATTTGAAAGTGCAATGTAAGTTGTGAAGCATTATGTAAATCAGGGGTCCACAATTTTTCTGTAAGTAGTCAAATCATAAATACTTTAGACTGTGGGCCATATGGTTTCTGTTACATATTCTTTTTTTAAATAACCTTTTTATAAGGTCAAAATAATTCTTAGCTTTTGAGCCAGTTGGATTTGGCCTGCTGTTCATAGCTTACCACCCCTTGATGTATTATTTGTTATTCAGAGAAAATGTCTGAATACTACTGATTTCCTTTTCTGTGTCTGCCCTGTGCTAGGCACTAAAAATGCAATGATTATTTGTGATCACATCCAGGTGACCTGAAGAAAAATAGTGAATGTGCTTTGTAAACTATAAAGCACTTGTATTCTATTGTGATAATCATTGTGGATACAAAGAAAGGAGCAAGCAAGAAAAAGTGCTCTTTCAAAAGGATCTAGTACTATGCAGATACTAGGAATTAAGTGTTTGATAAATGAATAAATTGTATGTATTTTGAGGCTAATTTGTTTCTGCTGCTCTGGTGATTTTGACTAAAAATGCAGTATTCCAGGTATCAGAAATGAGAACACATGGAAACTGCTTTTAAACTTTAAAATATACTGAAAACAAGGGACTAAGCTTATTGTGGTCACCTATAGTGTGCCAGATACCATTCTGGGCACTAGAGATCACAAAGGGGAAAAAATGTTCTCATAGAACAAAAAGCTTCAGAAAGGTGCATATTAAAGTGCCTTGTAAACTAAAGCACGATACAAATGTCAATGGGCTACATATTTATGAATGAATGAGTATTAACTGCCTCTTACATACTAGCTATTGTTTTGGGTACTGTGAAATACAAGATTAATTCTCCTATGTAATAGGAGGAAAATTTATCCTCTGTACTATTTAGATGTAAGGAAGGAGATACTGCTTAAACAGTCAAGACTTTAGTGGTGAGGTCAAGTTAAATTATTACTGGTATATTTTCCCAGGTCACCCGGGAAGAGACAGAATGAGGAAATGAAGTAATAGATATGAGATCCAGACCAAAAGTCACTTAATTAAGCTTGCGAATGTGGTTTCTAAATTATAAGGCACTTGTAAATGTTAAAAAAAAGTCGATGTTTTCTTTATGAATAAAACTTTCTGTAAGATAAGTATTGTCTGCAAAATTCTCATTGTATACTTAAACCACAATGAGAAGGGTTCTATAAGTAGTTATACAAATTAAGGGTTTAAATACCTGTTAAATGGATCAATTTTGGTTGCCTACTGTGTTAACTCACTGTTAAAGGCACTGAAAATTTATCATATTTCATTTACCCACAGCCAAAAATAATGCAATGCCTATATTAGCATTTTGTGAACTCTAAGGCACCAAATAAATGTAACTATTGATTTTCTCACTTGGTGCTGAGTACTAGGTTTATAAAATTGTATGATAGTTGTTATATTGTGCAAATAAAGCAGGAAATTTTGAGTAACAATGATTAACTTTTAAATATTCATATGCAAGGGATTGGTTGTCTGAAGTATACCAGTATAGTAGTCAACGATTGTGTGCCAATCTCATTGCTAGGTACTGGAGATGCAAAGATAAACCATCTTTATTGTGTTCTGGGTAGCAGAAGAAAATATGTGTAAAATCAATTTATAATTTCTAAACTGCCACCCATATATAAGCAATATCTGCTGAATGATTATTGACCACTCTTATCCTTAGAGATAACAACTGGCACAAAAATTTATTATCATTATTGAACATACAACAGAAACCTACGTGTAAATTTACAAAGTCTACAGTTCTATACAGATAGGAATGAACTACTGGTTTACTGAACGGTGATTACTTTCTGTGGGGCTCAGAACTACATGTCCTAGGATATAAAAATGATGTTATCATTATGGAGTGCTCACAGAAGGAAATGAAGTAATTAATAGGTGTGAGATCCAGACCAAAAGTCACTTAACAGGCTTATTCAGTAATGAAAGCATGGGATAAACGGACTTGTATAAGGCAGTGTACTAAGCTAAGTAGAGAAATAAAGTCCTGTCCAGAAGGATACATGCTCCCTGGCCTGACTGAAGAGATGGATTTTTTTTTTTTTTTTTTGCAAAAAGCAAGGTATTGTAGTCTTCCATCCAGTTTCTTAAATGCTGGTGATAGAAATGAATTAGACCCACCTTGGCCTGTCTTACAGGCAGTAAAGGAGTAAAAATAAAGGCCTCAGGTTTGCTTTTTGATTCATTTGATAAACAAAGCGTCTTTTATGTGGAATACACCATTCTGGGTCCTGAGGATAAGAGATCACTGACAGCTGAAGATAGAAAATATATCTTCGGTTTGATTGTGTAAATAATATTTCAGTGCCTAGTCTCTGCAAGGCACTATGCTTGGTAAATTAGTAAATTAAATAGGTCTGGCCCAGAAGACCCATTCAATTGCCTTTGATATTAAAAAAAGAAAGAAAAAGGCAAATTTCTTTCAAAATAAAGAGACATTTTTCTTAGTTTCAGGAATCCCTAAAATCACTTGCTCATTGGCTTAGTTTGAAGCCAGGAGACTGATAAAAGGGCTCAGGGTTTGTTAATGTTTAATTTATTAATTAAACATTCTGTTCTTAATACAGTTAAATGGTTCAAGATTAAACAACTAGTTTTAAACAACTAGTTTTAAAGGTATTTGCTCAATGACCTGGCTTAGAGGCAGGAAGACATTTGAGTAACAAAAAAGATTCTTTTACATTTACCATATTTAGTAAAAATTTATTAAAACTGAATAAAGTGCTGTTCTTAAGTGCTTGAAAGACTCAAACCAAAATGCACTTTATGTCATCTTATGGTGGAAACATAAGAAGAAATTCTATAAAGAGATTGTGTTTCTTTCTTTAGTTGAGAAAAAACTTCATTGAGTAGCTGTGGTATGTTCAATGCTAAGGAAAAATTAAACAGATCATCTTTGGCATGCTCTGTAGAGTCGGAATAAGAGAGGGCTTTTTATTTTTTCATTCATACGAATATTGATGAAGATGATATTAAATGCTAAATGAAATAAATCTGCTCCAAAAGGCATTTATTCTGGCTCGGAGATACAAGAAAAGCACAAGTGATACTCTACATCAAACAGAAGTTGACTGTTACGTCAACCACTGTGTTAAACCCTAGACAGAAAATAAAAAAGATCATGATTAAAGACACTTGCTTATTAATTGGCTTGGAGACTAGAATATAGGAGAAAGTTTAGTGCATTTTTTTTTTAATTTATTCATTCATTCTACAAATATATTTGGGTGCCAATCGTACTTGGTATAAGGTTTTTGGTAGGTTCTTATTTGACCCCAGAGACATGGGGGAAAAAAAAATGCATGTTCCCAGAGAACGCCTGATACTTTCCTTTTGGCCTGTTTTCTTGTTACGGGCATGGCTTAGTCCCTAAATAACCTTATGTGGTTTAATTCCTACTCCGTATCTCTTCTACCACTCTGGCCACTACAATAAGCAGGTAGCTGGGTTTTGTAGTGAGCTTGCTCCTTCAGATGCAGGAACTCTCCATATAATAGACAGTTGATTTTCCTAGCCCATCCCTCTTGAAAAACGACTGACCACTGCTGGGCAGAAGGAGGGATGATGACCAACTAATTCCCAAACCCCAGTCTTATTGGTACCAGCCTTGGGGAACCACCTATTCTTGAGGCACAGTTGGTTTTGAAGTGCATTTACAAGATTTGTCTGTCTTCAGTTTTTTACTTTTTACGTGCTGGCACATACATACACTGCCTAAATAGATCTCTTTCCGAAACAGTCTTCAGATAACACATAGCAGAATGGAGATGGAGACATGATTTCTCTTGCAACAGCTTCTCAACTTAGAAATGTTCTCCTTTTTAATCATTAAATTTGCTCAAGAAGGGCATTTTATAGTAGAATAATATCTGGATGAAAACAGCTTAACATTTTACCATGCTTAAGTTTTAAGAATAAAATAAAAATTGGAAATAATTGGCCAAAATTGAAAGGAATTTTTTTTAAAGTTCTCTAAATGTAGGCCTGACTGGGCTTTGACCTTTTCCATTTTAAAATCACTCACAGAGGGCGGGACAGGAGGAAGAGTGAAGGAAAAGGTCAAACCTATTTCCAAGGGCAGCCTTCCTTTGTTCTGAATTGGCCTTAAGAACATTAGCTGCTGAAGGTCTAAATTGTTTCATGCAGTTCCAATAACTGATAATTGTTGAGATGAGAACAAAATTCTTTGTCCTCACTAGTTTGCTTCACATTTTTGAAAAGTAATTATTTTTGTCCCATTGCTTATCAAATAAACCTTGTGTTAGGTAAGAATAGAATGTATTAAGTGAATCAGTGTGACCCCCTCTATTGTAAGATTATCTTAAAGCTGAAGCCAAAATTGCTTCAAAGGAAGACTTTATTGTTCATTGTAGTTCATATATACTTTCTCTAAACTGTAGTTTTCCATGGCAAGCCAATTACATCCATAAGTGGAGAAGGAAATTGATAAATGTCAAAGTATGATTGGTGGAGGGAGCAAGGTTGAAGAGAATCTGGGGTTGAAATTTTCTAGTTTCCGTTCTGTACATTTTTAGACATCAGGTTTGAAATATTAATGTTTGTCTTTTAATGTGTGGTATCAGCTGGACTCAGTAACATCCCTTTCTTCAGGTGGGGATGGGGAATGCATTATTGGAAAATGGAAAGAAGAAAGTAAAAGCCTTCCTTTCACAGTTTCTGGCATCACCACCACTACTGATTAAACAAGAATAAGAGAACATTTTATCATCATGTGCTTTATTCACACAAATGAAGTTGTGATGAATAAATATGCTTTTATGCAGACACAAGGAATTAAGTGGCTTCATTGCTGCCCTTCAACCTCAAAGAGAATTTATTCCAGAATGCTAAGATAAATGGAAGACTCTTGAATTTGTGAACTGATGTGAAATGCAGACTCTCTTTTGAAGACTGAAAAACATTGTTCAGCATGTGTGACCACCAAAAAGCAATCTTAAGCCATCTAGATGTAAAAACTGAAGCAAACTGGGGAGTTGGTTGCTACTGTAAAATAAAATATACTGTTTTGAAAACTTGATATTTTGATGTGACAATTTCTCACTATCCCTTCCTAACCACACTAATAACCCTAAGTTTTTTTGTTTGTTGGTTTTTTTTTTTTTTTGGGAGATGGAGTCTCACTTTGCTCCCCAGGCTAGAGTGCAGTAGTGCCATCTCGGCTCACTGCAACCTCTGCCTCCCAGGTTCAAGCGATTCTCTTGCCTCAGCTTCTTGAGTAGCTGGGATTACAGTCGAGAGCCACCATGCCTGGCTAACTGTATTTTTAGTAGAGACAGCGTTTTGCCATGTTGGCGAGGCTGGTCACGAACTCCTGACTTCAAGTGATCCTCCTGCCTCAGCCTCCCAAAATTCTGGGATTCCAGGTGGGAGCCACTGTGCCTGGCCTCATTTCTTTTTTTTTTTTTTTAATTTGATTGTGTAAATAATTTATTTCTGTTCACAGCATCATATATGCATTATAAAAGCCTATGGAAACAAAAGAGGAGGATGATAGAGACAGAATTATACCAGTAGAAAGGAAAACAGAAACCAGGGCACACAGTCCCAACACCAGAACAGAGAATTTGGGAAGAAAATTGTTCTGAAACAAAACTGGCCTCCCTGTGTCTATTAGAAAATATTTCCAAAGCTCAAATAGGGAGGCCAACTTCCTCTATGGGAAAACCATTCACTCGCCAAAGGGCAGAAAGCCTAATAAGTCACCCATTGATATGGGGGGAGGGCTTCCCATCCCCCCCCCGGTGACCACTCCAAGGTGATTTGATCCGTGCTTCCTTTGTTGGGTCAGAGATGAAATGGTCTATTATTAGGTCAAACATTACAGAAATCAATATCTAGACCCATATGCTTGGAATTTTAAATTCTCTTAGCCTACTGATTGGTTTGGATGAGCCCACCAGCTGAAGATGTGTGCTGAATTGCAAGATGGTATATATATATATTTTTAAACAAGGGATGTCTTTTGTAATACTAACTGCATGATGATGGGTTTTCAGACATGTTTAAAAAAAAAAAACTTTTACAAATGAATACTTGCCTTAGAAATATTCACTTTAGGAAAAAAGACTTTGCTCTGCCCTTTTATATTCCTTTACCCTGCAAGTAGCAACATGTTCAGATTTCTTTTTTTTTTTTCTTTTTTTTTTTTTTTTTGAGACGGAGTTTCGCTCTTGTTACCCAGGCTGGAGTGCAATGGCACAATCTTGGCTCACCGCAACCTCTGCCTCCTGGGTTCAGGCAATTCTCCTGCCTCAGTCTCCTGAGTAGCTGGGATTACAGGCACACACCACCATGCCCAGCTAATGTTTTGTATTTTTAGTAGAGACGGGGTTTCACCATGTTGACCAGGATGGTCTCGATCTCTCGACCTTGTGATCCACCCGCCTCGGCCTCCCAAAGTGCTGGGATTACAGGCTTGAGCCACCGCGCCCGGCCCTTCATGTTCAGATTTCTAATTTGGTTCATTGTGGCCTATCTGGTTTAAGTATTTCATTAAAAATGTCTCGCTAGAGGATTTGATGTCGTGCACCAAAAATATAAAACCCCACCTTGTTGCAAAAGCTGACCTCGTTGCATGGAATTAAAAGAGAAGGAAAAACACAAGGATGAAGTCTTTCCGAATTCATTCTTGTGGGAACTGGCCTATGGAGCCAGCCAGCACTTTGGGCAAATGCAAACAACGAGTGCTTGAGATAAAAGAAAGCATGACATCATGGTCACTGGTACTCAGGCACTTCGCAGTTCACTTGAAAGAGGCTTTGGAAAACAGATGAAGTGAAAGAAGAATAAATATTTTTAATAATGTAATTTTAAGAATCCTTTATAATCAGGACTGTGTCTTGGTTTGCAGAAGCTGTCATTTACCCTGAAACACAGTATCAAAAGGGAAATTTAAAACATACTGTTTGATGTTTTATTTCCTCTTAGAATCCATGTTTTCAGATAGAATTATGACTTTCCCCCCATTGTCACACATTTATTTCTTTTTTTTAAACTACCTTAACCACCCAGTTTGGGTAAATGATTTGAAGTCTTCTTACAGCTTCATTTGCTTTGGTCAAGGATATTGAGAAGCACAAACCCAATAAAAAATGTGAGAAGCAAAAAACCATTGAACAAAAGTGAGAGAGGAGTAGGGTATAAATAAACTGTAAAGCTGTGGAAATTAAGCATTCCTGAAAGAGGCCCAGACCCTGAGTAGGTGAAGGAATCTTTAGTTTCTAGAATTCTGAATGATTAAATACCCAAACATTAGATTGGTGACTGTAGGCAAATGAAACAACACAGTATTCTGTCGGCAGGAGTTCCTACAGCTTTGTTGGAAATTAAACTGGAAACTGGGTTTTTTGAAGAAAGCCTTGACCTGTTTGTTATGAGCCACGTGGTTATTCAGTACGTGTCCTTTTTTTTTTTTTTTTTTTTTGAGACAGTCTTGCTCAGCCACCCAGGCTGGAGTGCACTGATGTGTTCTCAGCTCACTGCAACCAGCGTCTCCTGGGTTCATGGAATTCTCCTGTCTTAGCCTCTCAAGTAGTTGGGGTTACAGGCACTCCATCATGCCCAGCTAATTTTTGTAATTTTGTAGACATGGGGTTTCACCATGTTGGCCTGGCTGGTCTTGAACTCCTGACCTCAGGTGATCTGCCCGCCTCAGCCTCCCAAAGTACTATGATTACAGGTGTGAGACACGGTTCCCGGCCTAGTACATATACTGTTAAAAAGGATGCCTGAGCAACTGTAGCCTATGTGTTGACAGTTGAATTTTGTCATTATAAATGAGTAGTTTGAGGTGATAAAATTTAGCCCATATCCTGGGGGGTTGCTTCTGAACTGGAATGGTCCTACATAGACTTTCCTGTTTACTTCTATTTCTTTGCAAGAACAAAGAAACATTTTACGTAGGACAGAGGGTAGGCAGGTGAGGAGGTAAGGAAAGACTTCCTGAAGTTATTCTTGGGTATTTTCTGTTCCTTTGTCCATCCCTCTTGAGTCCTTCAGCAGATCCTATTCCCACAGCGGCTTACTTCAGTTCCCTTGTCATATTTGCTGTGCTTAGTCTTGTGTTTGTGGTGCCTTAGTCATCATAGACTCTTTTATGGTAACTGATATATGCTCATCAGGAAAGAGCTTGGATTATGAGTAATTTACAGTTAGAATGACTCCTCCTAACCATAGCTAACCTCCAGTATACTATTTTATGTCTTTATGCTCATGGAGAAATGAAGTCTTAGAGAATATCCAGAGAGGGATTACCGTAATTATGACTATTAACTGGTACCTGAATGGGAGCAATGTGAATTACTTAAAGAAAGACACAGGAAGATAAGGTGGAGCTAGAGTATTCCCAGTTGTTACTTCCTGGGAAGTACTGGAAAACTTGTCTGGCATAGTATCCCATGGCATTTGGATTGTGGACATAGGAGGACAGCTGATGCAATCTGAATCTGCAGGGAGATAGACCATGAGACAGAAGGCAGGTTGTTAGAGTACCTTGTATGATACTATCCTATAATGCCAAACCAGTCTTCCCACTGTCACCTCACATGTTTGAATAATCATTGGAAAGAGCAAGACTTAGCAGGGAATAAAGTTACTTTTGAGCTACCACTTTTACTACTTAAAAAGTGGTGAATAGGTAGAGATGGATTCCAGTTGTCCTCACCATAGTAAACTGTTGCCTCCAAGAAAAAGAATGAACCAAGAATAATATGATGGACACTACCAAGTATTGGTTCAACTACATTCTGAGAGAAGGGACTTTCTGTAAAGGCTGCTACCTGGTTTTTGATACAGCAACTAGACATATATTTTGGGGTTCTAAGACAGGGTTTGGCTCTGAGCAGCAGAGAGCTGAGAAGCAGGACACGAAGTATGGGACTTACGTGAACTATAACCAAATGGATATGACTGCTGATTCTTGTAGATGGAAGGCTGGCTTTTTTTTTTTTTTTTTTTTTTCTTTTTTGAGATGGAGTCTTGCTCTGTCGCCAGGCTGGAGTGTAGTGGCGCAATCTCAGCTCACTGCAACTTCTGCCTCCTGGGTTCAAGTGATTCTTCTGCCTCAGCCTCCTAAGTAGTTGGGACCACAGGCGAGTGCCATCACACCCGGCTAATTTTTATATTTTAAGTAAAGACAGTGTTTCACCATATTGGCCAGGATGGTCTCGATCTCCTGACCTTGTGATCTTCCCACCTCGGCCTCCCAAAGTGCTAAGATTATAGGCATGAGCCACTGCGCCCGGCCTGGAAGTCTGGCTTTTGAGAGAACCAAGAATGAATAGTAAATCTCATTTTCAGCAGAAGAGAGTCTGCTATGAGGCGCACAGAAAATAGCTCTAGTAACAACAGCTCCATTAGGCATTAGATTGGATACCAGTTCCCATAGGTAAAACAGTAATATTAGTTATTCTGCAAAGGTAAAGCAAAAGCCAAAGAAAAGCCCTAACCAATCATGACTTCCCTTCCAAATATAGTCTGGAATCAGAAGTCCCTTTATTTCTTTGCTTCAATTTCTTGCCTTTCCTGCATTGCTAAATAAGGAATGCAATGGTCAGAAGGAAAGGTGGATTATCTAAATTAAGCAGCGAAAGTTAGAGAATGTTTACATGATGGTGTGTGGGGGGGACATTTAGAATAGTCCCTTTGGTAGCAAGATTATGCTAAGTAAGGTACTTGACTCATCTTAAGCTATTTTTCTTGAAACAGGGACTGTGCACAGCTCCCTTTCTAATGCCAATCCCTGCTTAATTTTCCCTCCAACAAAGTTTCTTTACCTGTTCATCTTTGGAATAAGAAATGCTGGAGGAATGGTCAGTGCTGAAGGAAATAAGCCTGTAAGGGAAGGCACAGAAGATGACATCAGGCTTTAGAATAGGTAGGCACAGAAGGACTCTGGTATCAAGCAAGAGGTCCCATATCCTAGAGGTTCAAAACAGATGTTCACTGGTAGGGAGAAAAGTGGGCAGATTTACCTGATAGGCTGATTAACTAGATACAAATGCTATTTAGATGCTTCTA